ATTCCTAAAGGAAGAACTCAGTGACCTTTTCTTTACGCGAACCGTGCCTTTAAAGAAGGAGTACCTTCAATTCGGCTGCACTACTGAGAAGTCCTGCTCCATAGACTTTATACTTGATGGCTGGTGTCGAGGTGGTCCCGTTGACGACAGGTTCAGCTTGCTCATCATAACATAGTCCGAATTCGATGGAGAAGAAGTAGAGCTGAAACGCTCCAATTAAATACTCGTAAGTGATCCCATAAGAATTCTACACAAATTCAAATAACCCCCCATCCCCTGTTGTGAGGGATCTACATTGCGTTCCAGAACAGTAAAAAGGTACGCGAGCGCAGACAAAAATTGGAGCAGTTCCAGTTACTTGAGGTTACAGCTGATCACTTTAATATGAGCTGGCATTGGACGCACTTTTGCGTCAGTCGAAACATTTCCGTGACCTTTTTCTCATTTCTCTCAAAATGAATCATAACAAGTTACCAGTACCCACCGTTGCAAGTTTCTTTAAATCATCATCACTGGCTCCCAAAGAGGCAAGTCCGATTTCCTGCGAGAACTGGGCGAAATCAGGATCTGCGAACAGGGCCATATGGCCCATTAGTTCGTGTACAGTATCTCTGAAAGGCTCGTAAAGTGAGGCTTGAACTTCCATCAGTTCAACTTAAGCTGCACACTTTCAGTTTCAGATCGAACCACATCACATCCAAGATGAAAACGATCAGAAGTATACAGAAAACCAGAAGCAAGCAGTGTTTCACCTTTAAGTCTTACCCCTAGGGCCCATGGCTCATCTGAAAGCCCACAGCCATTAGAGTTGAGCGATGAATAATTGAAACAATCCGACTTATTTACCTACAGAAAATTCCAAAAGTAAAGGAACCAATGAACGATGCATACATCAAAACGGGGAGGTCTCACTGATTGCAAAAGTTTTTTTGGCAAAATTTCCAGTCGAACAGATATTTCCCTATCATTTATCAACAGTAACTTGTTATTGAAATGTGGAGTGGAAGGTTTTGATAACTGGTTATGCAAAGGTAATTATTATGACTCACGGTTCAGGTGTATAGAGTGGATCAGCATGATGTCGTAGGTACTGGGTACAGAAGAATACACGATAGGCAAGACCAGCCAGAAAGTCGCGTGCCGAAAGGTAACCGGCCACTGGACGAATACGAAAGCCGGTTTTCGCTGCAAAACCAATTTTTCATTCGACATTGTCGATAAGTGTTGATAGAATTAATAGCCGAAAACGTCTACGTTTCTTCTGTTGCCATTCTTCAACTGTCGTTTAGGAGTCAAGAAAAGACCTCATGATTTGTTCAGAGAACATATGCAAAGGACGAAAGTTTACTCGAGTAAATGTTTTCCCAATGGTGGGGTATGTTTGTTGGGGATTGAAAATAAAATGATGCAAGGCAAATTTATGAGAGGTACATGCTCAAAAATCACAGCATTTGAAATCAGGTGTATCGGCTTCCCTCAAACTTTTTTCGTACAGCCCGAGGTTTTGAATCGAGGCCTCCCAATGAGTATTCAATTCGACGATACTACAGTGAGTTCTTATAGGGCTATGTTCGACCTGCTTGAGCTATTCGTATATGTAGGTAGGGTCCCATAACGATATAAGTTTCGGGGCCTGTAATTGGAGAATAGATATCCGCATGGACCAACCAAGCCTTCATAGCCCCGGCGTCGGTTGGACCATATCCGTTTGGAAGTATGAGAACGCTGACTTGTACATCGGCTGACCACCGCATGTCACTGTGTAGGCCAAATACGCATTCAATAGGCTACACTGAATGGAAGTCGAATGCAGGGCGCATCCCTTAGGCAGGGTTGATCAACACCCAAGGACGTTATCTTTTATTGTTTTTGAACTCAAAAATAAAAATAAATAAAAAATATTAAATAAATAAATAAACTCAATTCATCCTAGTTCAGGTAAATCTATGTTTTCAACTCGAGTGATTTTCGGCTGCGATACTCGAAGGGGGTATTTGGTGTAATACCTCCTGCTACCGACAATTCTTCAATTCCGAACTTTTTTTTCCGATACTGGATGGGTAATAAATAGTCCCAATTCACACATTTTCTTCAATAGCAGCGCTCTGATCCGATCAAATGACTCATGCAGGTAATTTTCTTCAAACCACACCCTTTCCTGACTTCCGTTTTCTTCACAATCCGGTAATGGGATTACTTTTCTGAGGGGAATGGTTTCAATCGTCCAATGACATCGGAAACAGTCTCGTTATAATCGATAAAAAGGCATAAGGATAAGGCGGAAAACGCGCAAATTGAAATCGAAATGAACAGGAAATCAAAGAAATCAGCAATTGTAACGTGCAATCAACTGCAGTACATTCCTGCAGTTACTGGGTGTGGTCAGTTCCTCTTCAGCCTGGTGCTCAGTAAAAGGGTAGGAGGAGACGGCTGGGGTGTGAGAGGCTTGCTCTCCTTGTCAGAATGAAATCCCCCTGGACTTTGGACTGCTCTGTGCTCTCTTAGCCTGAAGTATGGCTGAGCTAGTAGAACTCGAGTTGCCCACCTGCCTAGGTCAGGGTCAACCTAACACCTGGAATATTTTGACCTAGCTGTTACGGTTCGTTGAGAGGAACGGCGAAAACCGTCCGGGATGACTAGAAAATATCTGAAAATTCGAAATAGTCTCATCCTCCCTAGCGTGCAACAGGGTAATTCTGCCCAGAGACGATTTTGAAAAATGATGGGTAGTCTTTTCCAATGTTCATATTCCCCCTTCTGTGACAAACAATAAATCACTGAGAGGAAATTGCTACTGCTGAAAAATCGTACAAAATGTGAGAATAGGGTACCTTTAAGGAAGCGAGAAATGTCCTCGAGTTGAGGGATGTTGTGCTCTGAATAGCCGCAGTGTCTTTCGAGAAGGTCGAAATTTTCGAGGAATTCACGGCATGCGTGCCTGAAGAAAGCGGAATAAATCAAAAATAGTTCGGATCATAGACCAATTTACACAGACGACGAACTTCTTATGCAATTCGCGGAGCTTACGATAGATGATTCCCCATGTCTTCTTTTCGCTTTCCGTATATTCAATACGTGGTATCGGTTCTCCACTGAAAATGATAGAAATCAGCTGATAATTACACTAGAAGCTGACATTTTTTCAAGAATAAGTAGGATAAGAAGTAGAAGTAAGGATCGGACGAGAATGTTGCGAAAAAAGCCGCATGGCAGTGATGTTTAGATAAGCAGTTTGACCGCGTTCCATACAGCTGGCTGCATTGCGCTGCCTGCGTGCAAGGTGTAGGTCCTGGTGCGAAAGGTGCAACTTCTATAGCTTCTACAACGTTTTATACATCGTCTAGAAACCTTATTGAAAAACAGTAAAAGAGGGCCTTCTATATGGACCACACACTACATGAATAACATTCTTTTTTGGTGTTACTCGAATTTCGGCAACACCTTTGAAATCTCATAAACTTACTGTTTGTAGTTGAAAGCGATATCAGCGAACATCATGCGACGTTTACGATATTCGGCGTCCTTGAATCCCTGAAGAGAGGATGCATCTAATTTTTTTTATCATATGTATATTTTCATCTGTAAGGAATTTTCATAATGTATTACTTGATCCCTATAATAACAAAAAGCCACTCAGACCCACTGGCAGAGTAATCGTACGCGAGGCCGAAATATTGCTTTGAATCACTCAGGGAATCTGCACCTTT